TGCCTGTGACTGAAGCTCATCTGCTGCAGTGGTCCGGCTCGGGCCCGGTGTAGTGAGGGGGGCTTCTCAGACCGAGGAGGAGGGGTGTCCGGGTAAGTCCGGGGCTGGAGGCCGGCCGCTCGCTCTGCTGCCCGAGCTCCGGTGCCCCGCGGCCCCGGCCCGCTCTCGGTCTCTGCTTCCCTGCGTCGCCCAGAAGTGTGAGCCCCGACGCCCTCACCGCCTTTCTCAGCCTTGTGTTGACCGGGTCGTGCTGTCCACGCACCGGTCTTCCCTCGGGCAAGGGCTGGTGTTCACTGACCTTCATCCCAAAGGGAAGTCCAGCCGCCAGTAGTGCAGTTTCTTTCTTCAAAGTCAACTTTTACTTCGAAGCGCAGTCAAAACTGTATACTGTGGCCTTTGCCGTGGATTAACGAGCCGGGACCGAAAGATCCTTGTTGGTAACTAAAAATCACTTCCTTGGGGAGCCTTCCTTTATGCCTGACACCAGTTAGGGTACCTCTTTTCTGAGCAGTCCTGTGGCCTCCATGTCAGAAATTCCTGTACTTCTCACATTGTTAAATTGCCTGGTTTTTCTGCATCTCATCCTACCAAGGTCCTAAGTGCAGAACCTGATTTTTCTATTCTTTGTATATCTCCAGTACCATCCTAAAAGCGTTCCTCATAAAGAGGAAACATTTGATAAATATGTTAACAGATAAATTAAGCGGGTAAGAATAAGCCCCAGAGTTTGGGCTAAATTCGCATGAAAGTAAATTTGAAAAATTAATCTTAAAAAACATAATTTGTAGCCTGCACAGTGGCGCATGCCTGTGTTCCAGCACTCGGGAGGAGGAGGCGGGAGGATTGCTACCAGTTTGAGGCCTGCCTTACATAGTGCGTTCAGGGTTAGCCTGAGCTACAAAAAACCCCAAAATAAATAACAATTAGTGAAATGACATGATAAATCCCGTACAATACAATCTTGTACTGAAAGTCTACACCATTTACCAATCACTATATGAAAATATAATCATCTAATTTGGAATTGGAAAATTTAACTACTTCCTGCCTTTTTGTTAAACTTTTTTTGCTTAAAGTTGTAATAAATTAGAAAACTTGTTTTTCTAAATGTTTTGCATGAATCAAGTTGACTATATGTTCTTTAAATTTGATTCATTAGTGAAATTAGCAAGGTTCTGTGTTTTTCTTACCTCATTCTTATTAGTTTCTAAGGAAGTTTTAGGAGCATAAATTGATTTATGGGCACCATATGGTTACATCAAAGGTTCCGGTTTTGCTTTGTTTTAACTTGAAGTAGACTCTTAAACGCTGTATTTAAGCAGAAATTTATGTCCTTTCTACCAAGCAGTTTCTGAAATAGAATATTTTCAATGCTAAACTTACTAAAATTGGTTATGAGATTCAAAGGATATTTAACTTTGCAATTGATCTGGTTTATGACCTGACATTTTTTAGAAAGGTTAAATCCCAGATTATGGAACTCCCCAGACCAAAATCCTAGGATTTTCCATATTCCAAGTCCAGTGCTCTTCACTAAATAAATTGAAGGCGTTCGTAGGTTATAATGTTGTCTGCTATGTGTTCTTACTTGGTTGGTACAGAGTAAGTAAGCTAAATAAATTGAAGCCATTTATAGTCTATAGTTATTTGTTATCTCTTGTTCTGTTGTTTGCCATATTCTTGTGCCATAGTTAATTCTTAAGAATTGTGGATACGTTCGAAGATTCATTTTTATATAGTATATATTGATGGCGTGATCAGATTGACATGACTGAAGTTATTACATTATAAACGATTTGAGTAGGGAATCACCAAATTCCACACCGCAAAACCTGACCGTCTGTACATTGTAGTTCAGCACCTTAAGGCTGTTGCGTTCTGTCCCTTTCTGGAATTTTGTATGCATTTTTAGTTTTAATCGATGCTTTGTAAGCCTCGCAAAGGGCGCGTGCGGAGTCTCTGGCCCTATTGCTGTGTGCTCTGAGGCCGTGACCAGTGGGGCGCGCCATCGGGCCTCATTCTTTGTGAGGCGCGGGGCTCTTGTCTGCACGGACTCAGGAGACAGTGGACTGAGGGCCCGGGGGTAATGCGAGTCCTGACTTCTGCTGCCACTTTTCTCCTGGGGCAGGCAAACCGGTGGCCTCTGCCTTCCCTTCCGGAGCGCTGTGCCACTGATCACCTGGGGCGTACCTCTCCTGGGATTGGGGGCCACTCTGCCTGGGAGAAGTGTACATTTGCACGTGAAGAAACCAGTTACGCCAGGAAAGGTATCCCGACAGGAAAAGGTGTCCTGGCATGAACTGGACCACCAGGCTGAGTCACTGGAAGCCTCTCCCACCAACACCATTATCAGGAGCTTGAGAAGACTTTGTTCCTCGGGTTCTGGGAGCAGTTGGATTGCCCCTGGCAATTGTGCTCATCCTGAACTCTACTTTAGAAATTTTTTTGTCTGTTTCTACCTATTTAGTATCAACAAAGTTTTATTTTCTCTCCTCTTCCTATAGACCTTTTCACTCACTTAAATGACAAAGCCTCTAGTATTTATCTTTGTGTTTTCCAGGAATCCTGGGCCTTGTATGATTGAAAAAAGGTCGTATTGATGTCACTTTATAAGGGCATGGGTTAATTTTAAAGCCAGAACTTAATAATGGATTTTTAAGACCTTTTTCAAAAAAGTCCATATTGAAATAAACTGATTAGATAGCTTGATATTTTTTAAATCCATTTTGGTAAATGCATGGAGACTAGGTTTAAAAGACTTCGAGATAGATTAAAGAATATAGTAACCAGGGCCAGGGATTTAGCTCAGTGGTGCTGCCCCCTGCCTCAAAAGCACAAGGTCCGGAGGTAGATCTCAGGCACTACAAAAAAAAAAGTCAAGTACTGGCAATGAGAGCCATTTTCCTAGAATATATCACATGAATAAGGGAAAATGGCAAAAAAATGCTTAAGCACAGAATAGCTCATGTTTTACTTTCTGGGAACCAATAGACCACTCAGTTACAGACTGTTTTTGTTGCTATTATTCATTCCAGTTGTGTTTAGGTAGCCATTATTACAGTAGGGTGATGTTTACCCACATTTTAAAAATACAGACAAAATAGATGTTCTACATAAATATTTACACATGTGCTCGCTTTGGCAGCACATATTCTAAAATATTTACAGATAATCTGTTTAACTACTATTGCTAGTTCTGTAATACAACTGTGGTTACTCATTTTTTTAAACCAGGTTTGCTTCTTTCATAAGAAACTAAAATAGCATGAAAAGTTGTTTTAAGTGTAATAATGTTATATTAAGGGTATCTCTGGGGTTAAAAGCCCTCTTTCTGGACATAATCTAATCTGTGGGAAACTTACTAAATTGAGCATCCCTAATCCTAAAATCCAAGATGTTTTCACATTTAAAACTTTGAGCACCAACATGATGCCAAAATGGAAGTTTTTCCATACCGTGTAACTTTTTTCATGTACAAGATTTAAAATGTATAAAATTGCCTTCAGACTGTGTGTACTAGGAGTATATAAAATACGAATGGATTTTATGATTAGATTTGGGCCTTACCCCCAAGATAATTCATTATATATGTGCAAATATTCCAAAATCTGAAAAACTCTTAAGTCTCAAATACTTCTGAGCCCAAGAATTTGAGATACTCATCTATAATACAATCAGTTCAAGTATTTTTCTATTACAGGCATGGCTGCCCTCAGTGAGTAGTATACTCTGTTAAAATCTTTCAAGAATGACCCTAATGTTTTTGAAATATTTGGAGAACTACAGTTTGTCCACAACCCTCAAAAAAAAAAATATGCAGTTGACATCACAGACCTACAGATAAATGTGTGTACCATCATACACAACACTGGCAGAGTAGCAGTCTTCACTGCTGTTCATTTACATATGTGGGTTAGAGCTAACTTACATAATATTGGAGGAAGGCTTGAACATTACAACTGGAAGGGCCAGAGCATGGATGTGCCTTGCCCAAGACCACGCCACTGGTTCTTGGGCAACTTGAAGAAAATCTGATAATGGGAATCTTTTTCCTTAAAAGCCAAATTAAGTATTTATTTTTTTAGGTGCTTATAAATTTGTAAAATATTAACACACTTGGTCACAATGCTTAGGCAAGAAGCAAACCATTGAAGCTATTTCCCCATTTCCTTACAGTTAGGGCCATATTTTTTTAAAAATTATTCAGAAAAGTAATGAATAGCATCATTACTTTAAAAATAAATCACAAGGGGAAAAGAGTAATTCTTGTCACCCCTGAACTGCAACCATCCTAATATGTAACTTAGTTTGTACCTGTTTTCATTTTAAAACTTAGAGGCTGTTGTTTTATCAGTACATATGTCTATACCAGTTTTTAATTTACAGCATCACTATTTGAACATACCATAGTTTACTTAATTCATGTTATTACTGGATGCTTGGTTCTCCCCCATGTAGCTATTACAAGCAATGCTACAGTGAATTTTGTTGTATATAAATTTGTACGTATTTAAGAGTGTATCCTAAAATAGATTTCTAGAAGGGGCTAATGCTTTTAACTTTTGAATGTGTGAGTCTAGGTCACATTTTAATAAAGAAGATTATAGCAGTATTTCCCCAGAAATAATTGTTTAGTTTCATTAATACCAGTCTGTTCCAGTATCCAATGTGAGTCATCAGTGAAGCCAACACTATCAATAAGAACTTCCCCTGAAACTGAGTTATGTTTTTATATGGTTGGTAGTTTTAAAATCTCATTTTCCTTCATAATAATGCTTTAGAAAATATTTCAGAATTAATCACTACTTTTCACATTTACTCTGAATCTGTGCCACAGTCTACATTCAACCAGTGTAGCTTCTTGATATGAAATGATATTAGCACCAGATTCCCATTAAGTACAGAATGAATGATCTGTGGTTACATCTGTGTATTTTGTAAAGAAGGGACATTTCTGTGTATATGTACTTCTTTACAAAATTAGCACACAAATTATAAATCAAAATCAAGATTTGGAAAAAAATTACAGATAACACTTCTGTCATTTATTTTCTTTGCATCCATGTGCAATTTGAGAATACTTACTATTAGAATAAACTCCATTAAAGGAAAAATAATAGTTTTTATCCAGAAGGTTTCAGCATATATGTAGTAGTCTTTTGACTTCTGTATTCTTATGTCCTACATTGTGTTTTGTTGTGAGTTGAAGTTATTATCCAGAGAATAAAATCTCGGTTGTGTTTGTACAGTCAGACTTAATTTCATTGCAAATGTGACATAATTTCTTTACTGAATAACACATGAAAAGAAAAATGTTTAATGAAAAAAAGTTAGCTTATAGAAAATACCAAAGTTAAAAAAAAAAAAAACCAAAGTAGTTACAATAACAGATTGAAGACAATTTTGTTCATGAAATGACTTGTACTGTGCATAGAAAAAAGTTTAGCATTGGTTTTTACTGGGTGGAAAAAAAAATTTTTTTTTCCTCCACAATGAACATGTGTCACCATGGATTTAAGCCGCTATTCTTTTATTCTTTCAACAGTTCTTCACTGTCTCATGTTTTTTCTTCCATTTTCCACCAAATTTTCTTTATTTATTTTTTTAATTTTGAGCGGGGGGTGAGACAGGGTCTCACTATGTAGTTGAAACTGACCTGGAGCTCACTGTGTAGCTCAGGCTGGTCTTGAACTCACAGCAATCCTCCTGCCTCCCGAGTGCTGGGATTTTAGGCGTGCATCACCATGCCTGGCTCAAATTTTCTTTTATTAACCTTGAGTTTTTCTAGTTTATTTCCATAGTTGTTTATCTGTTTCCATGCTTCTTTGTGGTTGTTAGTCCCATTCTCTTTAGATATGTTTGTCAAGGGGTGAATTCTCAACTAAACAAGAATGACTTACAGCATACCTACATTTCCTACCAGTCTCTGCATTGGTCGCTCATGTTACGAATTGGAACAAAACTAGTTACCTCCTTTTTCATGTTCTAGGTGTTCTTGATTCCTTTCAGAAAGTTGATTAAGCAAGAAAGGAGAAGAATCCTCTGAGCTTTCCTGTGCTAGTTCATAATAAAGTGTTTGAATTTCTGTCCCAAAATTGTTTCTTTTAACAATTTTCTGTAAAATGTGTTTCAAATACCAGCAGATAATCACCGGAATGGGAGTAAATGACTTGTGGCAAATTTTGGAGCCAGTTAAGCAACACGTCCACTTACGGAATCTTTGTGGGAAAACCATTGCAGTTGATCTGAGTCTCTGGGTGTGTGAGGCACAGTCTGTTAAAAAAATGATGGGAACTGTTGTGAAGCCCCACCTCAGGTACAGTAAAAGCTCTTAGATTGTAACTATGATTAAAACAGCCTTGTTTTTTTTCTGGGCTTTATTTCTTGTGTCATTTGAGAGATTTTAAACCTTCTTTAACATGTCTGAATCTAGTGGCCCACAGAATTGTGCCTCTTACTCTTTGAGCTCCAGAGTCTCACATCTACTCTTATCTAGCATATCCTCTAGGATGGTTTGATTACTAAAAGGCAGAACTCTGGGAGCCACTATTTTGCTTTTTTTATTTCTCCGCATCCAGGCAATCAGTAAATCTTTGCAGTTCTTCTATAACATACTTTATGTTCACAAACTTTTCTTAGTGTCCCGAAACACCACTCGGCCAACTTCGTCTCACGTACGCTGCTGAAATGATACCTTCATTAGTTTCCTTTCCTTGTTCTTAGGCTTCTTCTCCAAGCCATTTTCCTTATAGCGGTGACAATAATCATAAATCTCCCATGCACAGAAGTGTTCCTTTGTCCCCTCTGTACTTAACTTGGTAAGTGTTTATCCCATGTTATTTTTTGATACTTTATCTAATGTAGCCTTTATGTCATACTGTGTTTTTACTGTTAATACATTATGGGTAATATATTAGTGATTTATATATTTCAGGAACTTATTTTTTCGTGTCTCATATTTAATGCAAATGGATATAAAACTGGTGTTTGTTATGGAAGGAGAACCACCAAATCTAAAAGCTGATGTCATGAACAAGAGGAATCATATGCGATATGGGGCTTCTGGAAAAACATGGTCTCAGAAAACAGGAAGATCACATTTTAAATCGGTCTTAAGAGAGGTGAGCATTCAGATTTGGTTTTATAATTCTGACTTGAATTAAAGAGTACATTTTGCTCTAATAAGTTTGTAAATTTTAATAACCACTAGCCATGTTGTGACTAGAAGACCAGAATGTAGAGAAAAGAGTTTGTGCTTCAGAGGAAAGCTGACCTGAGTTCACACAGTAGCACTAAATTGGATAGGATTTTTAACCTATCCTTACACTGTGCGTGAGGACTGTAGCTAAACAGATAAAATAGACCCAGAATAACAGGAACATGGTAGGGACTTGATCTTACCTTTTCTAACATCTTCAGCACTTAAAGAATCCCTAGAATACAAGGGGTGATCAAAATATATGGTGGATACACACACACACACACACACACACACATGCGCGCCCGCTTTCGCCCGCTTGCATATAATCTCTCTCAAAAAATTCCTCCTCACTTTGAATAAGTGTTTCAAATGAGGAAGTATTTTGAGGGGGATTGATGGCAATTTGTGTTTTACTGTAATGTTTATAAAATAAATTTAAGCATTCACCATATTTTCGGTCATACCTTGTACATGAGATCTCAATTCCTACTTCATTCATTAAAATTTATGATCATATATAGAATATACATATTTTGCTTCCCTTAGAGTTTATAATTTTGAAAAGTAATTGTTACAATGCTTTATTTGTACATTACTTAATAATATTGCTGTATTTCATACTTTTATAAAAATTAAAAATTACCTCCAGTTAATATAATACATAATTTAAGTTAAAATCAGCTACTATTTTCTTTGCCTCTTTTCAAATGTGTTTTTTTAAAGAGTCATAACATTGTACAAATAATATTTGTTGTGGACTTTTCACTTATACATAGTTCCCTATTAAATAATCATAATCTGTTATGATTGTAAAACATGTCAAGCTATGAATTATTACCAGAATTACATATATTGTTTACTTTTTGATTTTTCTGTGTATGTAGCTTGTTCTTGTGATTTGGGACTTTAGATAAAATTACCCCAAATGGAATTAATAGACCAAGATTTTGGATTTTATAGCTCTTACCAATTACTTTTACCAGTACAGACATGAGAAATAATTTTAATGATCTCACAAGAACACTGATGTTAGTGGATTTGTCTTTGTAGTGTGCAAAAACAAAGACACTTTGTTCAATATGTGTTGATCTTTTAATGATGAGTTTAAACAGTTTGCCTATTTTTAATTTCAGGTTAGTTTGGGCAATAGCCATCATGTCCTTTATTACCTGTCTAAGGTTAATTTTTTCTTTTGTGCAAGCTCCTTGCACATTGAGGATATATGCCATGTATTTGCTTTGAATTTATTTTTCTTTTCAGTTTGCATTAAAGATTGCATTTCTTTTAAAAGGCATTGTATAAACTAATGGTTATTTTTCTTTACTTCTGAAACTTTGTCTATTTTCTATCCTTACATGATTTTTTTTAAGTAATTTTCAGGGCTGAAGAATGTGATTCAGTGCTAGAGCACTTGCCTAGCTGGCATTAAGCCTTGGATTTGATTCTTAGCAGCACACAAAATGTTTTACATTAATGAGTATTTTGTTAGTGACTGTCAGCAATTGAATGAAGCATCTGGCAGGATTGTAATTAGTTTCTTATGTAGTTAGTTGCTAGAAATGTCCACAGACTTTGTACCTGGAACTTTTAAGTGCCTGGTATCTCTAGTTCTTCTTAAGAGAACTGTTCCATTCCTTCTTTATTGCAATAATTTATGGTATGCTTAGGCATCTTGTGTCAGTTCAGTATTGTTCGTTTATTACTCATTTTCATATTTCTATTCTCTTTCAATTGGCCCTGCTTCCTCCTGATCCACTGCCAACTATATGAAAAGCACAAATTACTCATACTCCAACACCACGTCCACCCTACATGAAACCCACATAAGGTAGAAAAATATGCAGCCAGCCTCATCACAACTTCTCTGCTCCTCCTATGCAATTTTAGTGACAATTGTCTCAAGAATTTGAAATAGCTTTGTCTATTATGAAAGGATGCTTCTAAGCTAGAATTAAGGAAGAAGCAACATCCGTAACAAAACTGTCTCCCTAAACTCCTATGACCAGAGCCCTGAAAAGCAACATTTTCATCATAGTACTTTGTCTTTTTGAACTTGGGCAACATCTGGCAGAATTGTCTAGTATGTAATGTATCATGCAAGTGATCTATTAGTCCAGATGAGAGGTGTTTAATTATTAGTGTCCAGAAAGGACAAATAAATAGACTTTTTTCCAGAATGCTTAGTATTGGGAGTTCTCCTAGTACAGGGAGAACATAGGACAAGAAAAATGAACTAAGTATCACAAAATGACAGTCATTCTACACAGATATTTGACTTTTATATGAGGACACCAGCAACTGACTTTACATAGTTTACCAAAATATGAAAGTTTCATTTTAAAGGCGAGGCAAGATGAGAAAAAACATTTTACTAAAACTTTACATCTTCAAGCCAGTTATTTAACAGCATCTTTGGAAAACTTTATATTAGTTTGTCCATTATGTGAGAAAAGTGATATCTACAGGTAATAGCCTGTAGCAGTAATATAATATATGGATTATTTTGTAATTGACATCAGAAACCTTAACTTTTTTTTTTGGTACCGCAGATCGAAGTCAGGTCCTTGCAGGCAGCAGAACCACTGAGCTAAATCCCCGGCCCAGAAACCTTAACTTTTGATAACAGAAAATTCTAAATCAGTACAGAAGTCACTGATCACCAATGTTAAACAATTATCAACTCTTAGTCCACCTTGTTTTATCTGTGCTCCTGCCCACCCCCTCCTCCCACATTATTTCAAAGCAAATCCAGTCATAATATTACATAATTCTCAATATTCATGTTCTCCTCTCTAATAGATGCCTCTAAGAAATGAAGCATAACCACAGTATGACTTTTATTATCATACCTAAAAGTTCAACAGTTGTTCCTGTGCCACCAGGATTTCCAAGTGTTTCTTCAACATAATTTTAAAAATTTCTAAAAAGCTGCTATTACTTGTAACAGAAATTACACAGTGAAGAAATCAGCAGTAAAAGCATCTTTACTTTCTCACACTGACTTTTATTTCAGTGCCTTGAAATGCTGGAGTGCTTAGGAATACCCTGGGTGCAGGCGGCGGGGGAAGCTGAGGCCATGTGTGCTTACCTCAATATTGGTGGTCATGTTGATGGCTGCCTCACTAATGATGGAGATGCGTTTCTCTACGGGGCCCAGACTGTCTATAGGAATTTCACCATGAATGCAAAGGTACTTATCTTTTTTTTATACTTGTTTACAAGTTACCTTTTGTAAGGGCCTGATTAAATGAACATATATATGAAAAAAATACTTCCCATAATGCTTGGAAAGTAGCATTTGCTAAATGAAAGCTTGCTGTTACTAAAAATATTAGTTATATAAAGAGTAGGTTCAAAAAATACGTTGAGTATTTAATTTTTTAAAAAATAATAAAAGACACATTGCATCAATCCCTGTCCATATAGTCTCTTTTGCTTCAAGACACACTTATCCCATCATTTCTTTCCACCTTCTGAAGCAGTTCTGGAAGGCTTCTTTTGTGAGTGTCTTCACTTGGACTGTCCTGGCTGCCTTGGTATCCTGAATCAGTTCGAAACGTTTACCTTTCATGCTCCTTTTGACTTTGGAGAAAAGCCAGAAGTCCCATATACTAGATAATGGTGAATATAGTTGAGAAGACACGCCATAATGTTTTTATGGGCCTGCCTTTTTATTGGATGGCACTTGGCAATAGCTTTCAACCACATTTTCTTATCATACCTCATAAAGACACTCACAGAAGAGGATTTCCAACACTGCTTTAGAAAGTGGCGAGAACAATTTGATGTGTTCAAAGAAATGGGGAATAATAACTGTCTATTATGGTAATAAATTTTTATTTAAGTACATGCCATATTTTTTATCAGAAATCTAGAAAGGATTTTGAAAGTTCCCTTCATATAAATAGATGTTTAAGGAGATATTATTTACTTGGTTTAAACATTAACAGTATACATGTATCAAAACATTATATGTCTATTATAAACGTATTTTTTGCAATTTATATATATTAATAAATTCAGATTTTATCATTGCTATATAGTTAATCCTTCAAAATGTGAATTTCTGTACTAAAGAAACCATTGTTTCACATGGTTGAATTCTAAATTATTTTTAATACTGTGTCACAAAGTTATATGTAATCTTTGACCCAAAAACACCTCCAATTGTACAGGATGATATATACAGGCAGGATATTCATTGTAACATTGTTAATGATTATAGAAATTAGCCAGCAACCAAATGCTCATTGATAAGAGAATGGTTAAGTTCTTTACACTATTTAGAGGAAGGTTGGTTACTACCTGTGGGTGTTTCAATTGTAACAATTCAGAGTTGAGCAGGGATCCTATGCTTAGACCTTTGTTGGCTTAGGACCAGACAAGCTCACCCTCCTGTGCTCCGTCCTCAGAGATGCTAATAGTGCCTTCTTTGAAAAGCACTGGCTCAGAGCCCATGTGATCCAGTTAGAAGCAGTCATTGAAAAGGTGTGTATTATTGACATAAAAGATGTCTAGGCATACTGCTAGGGGGAGATGCAAACCTTTTCAAACTATTGAAGTATCAGATTCTATTAAAATTTCAGAGATCAGAATAATTTTCATATTTAAATTTTAAAAACATTTAAAGATAAATTACTTTTATAGTATCATTTAATATATAAGCACTTTTGAGGATTAAACTAAAGCTATACTTTCCTCAGGACCCACATGTTGACTGTTATACAATGTCATCTATCAAGAATAAACTAGGCTTGGACAGAGATGCTCTGGTTGGATTAGCCATACTTCTTGGATGTGATTACCTTCCAAAGGCAAGCTGAGATCATACTTACTTGTTATTCAGAGTATGTTGTTTTTGGTACCTTGAATCCTGTATAAATATAAATGTGATATGGTGATGTGATGTAGGATCTAATTTAAAATATAAATTACATACTCAGTCATACTGTAACTAAAATAATAATTGATTCAGAATTTAAAAGCTGATGTGTGACACTGAATGTAAACATGAATAGCATATTCAGCAGTGCCAGAGCTTGAACCTCAGTTAAACCATTAACCCAGTAGAACAGATCTATATTCGCATTTCATTACCCTTACAAAGGAGTATGACCAGACATTGCGGTGCATGCCTGTACTCCCAACACTTGGCAGGTTGAGACAAGAGGATCACCAAAAGTTCAAAGCCAGCCCTGGCTTTAAAAATAATGAGTTCAAGGTGAGCCTGAGCTGTATATTCTGTCTCAAAAAATTTACAAACTAAAAAAGTATAGGAATACCTCCTTTCTTATATAATGCCAGTGATAGTTACTATCATTGTTTTACCTGTTTTTTAGTTTTCAATATCCATTGTAGTTTACCAGTTGTACACATGTTCAGTGTTGTTACTGTTGTTCAGCAACATGATTATGGAAATAAACCATTCACATTTTCTTGCCATTTAGCATTGCATGGGATTTTGTTTATGGAAACATTTTATTTACATGTCCGAGTATAGTTATAGTACTCTAACAATATTAATAGAGTGTATGATAAATTAATAATTGTGAAGACAACCCCATTTTCTCAAATACTGTACTTAAAAGCAAATGGCCAGAATTACATGTCTTACTATATATTCCCCTCATTATGTTCCTGTCAATCAAATCTCACATTTTATCTCTATTCCCAGGTACAAAAAAATACAGTATAATTTTTTTTACTGAAGTTTTGTAGCTTGTATCTAGATGTCCCCCAAGTGTGTGAAGCTGGGATTAAGGGCACCCCACCCTGGGTGTGTGTGGCTCATTGATTAGGCCTATACACTGGATGAAATATAAAGGGACAGGAAGAAGGTGCTTCTCCTGCTGCTTTGCTGCTACCTGCTGCTCCCTGCTTACTGTTTTGCTGCCTTCTCACCATAAACTGTTTATCTTTTGCCATGCTGACTGTTGAATGGGATCTTTACAAACTGTGAGCTGAAATTTACCTGTCCTTTTTACCCTTGGGTATCAGGTATTTTGTCTCAGCAATGGGAAAAGTAAGACACAATTTGGCACAGAAATTAAGTTGTTGCTGTGAGTGTACCTGACCGTGTGGTTTGGGAGCCTTTGAAATTGGCTTGTGGGAAGAATTTTGAAAAATTTGGAGATACCAGCTGAAGAAACAGCCCTGGAATTCTTTAAGCTGTCCTTGATGGGAGATTTTGGTCAGAGCTCAGAAAAGCAGAATGCTGATAAAAATGCTGACAGTAAAGACCAATCTCAGAAGGCTTCTGCTGGGAATAAGGACTGCATTGGCTTTTGGACTCCACATCATGTATGTTATGCTTTGGCAAAAAATTCATATGCATTTTGCTCATGTCCAGAGACTTTGCCTGAAACTTAAGACTATATCTTGCAGAAGAAATTTCAAGACAATCTAATGTTCAGGTGATGGCATGGCCACTATTGGGGGCTTTTAGCCATATTTATGTTGAGAATCAAGAGCAAAGAGCCAAGCAGAATGATTTAAAATGTGAGTTTGGCCAGAAACGAAGTTCTGGTAAAGTTGTGGACTGCAAAGATGGAGAAGAGGAAAGCATTTGCTAAGAAGGAACGGGCATAGAAAAGGTGGCCTAAAAACTTCACCAGAACCAGAAGGACTCTGGTTTTTTTTTTCCCTAAAAATTACAAACACGAAAAACTTTGCTTTGAGAAGAAAGCCCCACAGTACCCACATATTCCAAAATGGGAGTGGCCTAGGGAAGTCCTTCCTCAGGATTTGGTTCTTAGTGCTCTGCAATCCAGGCATTCGACCCCTATAGCCAAAAAAGAAGGAAGCCTGGCTACTGCTTCAGACGGCAGCAGACTTTGGCATCAACCACTTGGTGCTGGATTTAGGTGCATGCTGAATATAAAGGTGTGAGGTGAGGTAGGCTTCTACCCAGGTTTCAGGAGAAGACCCGGGAGGCTAGGTAGTGTGCCCCTAAGAGGACAGTGTGTCAAACAGTGTGAAGCTGAAGGTATAGTGGAAACCTCAAAAGGTGGGAGAAGCCAGGAGCATGGGTCATTGAGGAAAGCTGCAAAAAATGAGCAAAGTTGGCCAAAGAGACTAGCCATGGGAGCTGTACTTTAGGCTTGAACTTTTCAGCAGTGCTGAAACTGTTAGGATTTTGGTGACTCTTAGAGATTGACTAAATGCCTCTTGTATAAAGGATGTGCATGAGTCTTTGGGGGACAAGGGGCAAAATGTTATGGCTTGTGTTTAAATGTCCCCTCAGGGCCTCATGCAGTCATAGGTGGGGCTTTTCATAGATAGCTGGATCTAAAATGCATGAAGCTAGGATTAAGGTTGCTCCACCCTGGGTGTGGATAGCTCAGTCAATAGGCTTATAGCCTGGATGGAATATAAAGGGACAAAAAGAAGGCTTCTGTTGCTTCTTCACTGCAGCCCAGCTGCTTTGTGATTACTGCTTTTGCTGCCTGCTATAAACTGTTTCTCCTCTGCAAGGGCTTTCTGCCATGCCGCCCTGCCAGAGCCAGCAAACTATTCACTGAAACCTCTGCAAACTGAGCTGAAATACACCTTTCCCCCTTTAACTTTGGTGATGGGTATTTTGTCTCAGCAACAAGAAAAGTGATCAAGACACTTAAGCCTGGGGAAAAGGAAAAAAAAAAAAAGAAGGATAGTAAAATTAATAGCCCTGTTTTCTAATATATATCTAGTGGCCATACAGAAAAATCAAGAATTTTTTAAACTGTTAAAAAAAAGTGGGATGAAAGAAAACTTTAAATACTAAAACCTATTATTTTATTGTAATTCTCCTGAAATAAAACTTTTAATTCCCATATGTAGTTATATTGTTTAAAATCTAGAACCAGCCCATTGTCTAATCTATGATTTTTGCTAGCTTGAACTCATAGAAATCAACTTTAGTTACAGTGATATTTATATTATGCTTTAAGCCTTAGCTATTTTGACTTTTTATATTCTTTATACCAAAGTTGTTATGTTTTTTTTTAATTTTTAAGACTAGTAACATGATTTGCCTTTAGAATATTTGAGATGTAGCTAAAAGCTAATACAAGATGGTGATATTCAAATTACCTAACATCTGGGCCTAGTGCATGCCTGTAATCCTAGCATTATGGGAGGCTGAGGCAGAGGTGTCACAAGTTCAAATGCAGCCTGGGCTGCTTAGCAACTTAAGAAGACCTTGTCTCAAAAAAGATAGAGGTTGGGAGTGGTAACTCACTGCAAAGATCTTAGGTGCACAGAGTAATACACACAGTGTATATATATAACTAGTATGTAAAAATCACAGGCTGTAGGATGTAGAGATGGAACAGAGTTGGGAGTGGTCTCTTTCTATGCAGCAGAGTAGCTTTTTAGGAGTTTGAGCCTGGGTATAGGTGGTTGGAGAAATTTAGGGTACTTTGCTGTTTAGAAGTATTTTAATACTGATATGTCTATCTTGGTGCATAATGGTTAAGTAGGGGCCCTACTTATAAGGACATAGTCATAAACTAATAGCAAGAAACCAGAAATTTGTGATGTAAATGTGGTGTGTGTGTGTGTGTGTGTGTGTGTATTAAGGACATAGTCATAAACTAATAGCAAGAAACCAGAAATTTGTGATGTAAATGTGGTGTGTGTGTGTGTGTGTATGTAATTTTCAGAAATAAATTTTAGTTTTGGAAGTTCACTTTAATTTTATTTTTAATATGAAGAGTTAACTTGCAGGCCAGGAATTTAGCTCAGTGGTTCTGCCACCTGCCTTGCAAGTCCAAGGACCCAAGTTCAATCCCCAGTACCAAAAAAAAGTTAACTTGGAACTTTTTTTTTTGATGTCCAGATCTTTAAATATTAAATACTCACATAATTAGATGAACTTGATTTTATTAATTACAAAATAAGAAAGGACAAACTAAAACATCAAAGTAATTAACCTAGTAAATGAAAGCCCTCTAAAATTATGTCCCTTTCTCCCCTAAAATAAACATTGTCAGTGGTTTAAGATATCCTCTGGGTTTTTTTTGTTCACGTCAGCTAACAGTCTCATTTCTATTTAGTTTACAAATCTGCATGAAGTCATACTTTACAATTTCATTTTATACATTCACGTGTATCTTGCACAGTCTCCTACCATTATGCACTATTGTGGCTTATGTCATAGTCTCATCAGTCATAGGTGGGGCATTTCCAAGGAAGTGGATCTCGATTATATGATGCTGGGATTGTGTGTGTGATGCTGGGATCAAGGGTGTGTGGTTACTAAATTAGTCTACTGATTGGTTTGGTGTAGTTCTGAGCGTGGCTAGTGGGAAGGCCCACTGTGGGAATGAGTGCCACCTGCCCTAAGTGTGTGTAGTTGGGGTGGGATATAAGCGACAGAAAGAAGGCTGCTGCTAGTCACTTGCTGTTGACTGCTACTTCATAGCTTGACTGCCTTCCTGCCTCTGCCTGCCATGGATTGTTTGTTTCTCCTCTGTGATGCCCCTCTGCCCACCCTGCCTTCGAGCCACCCGAATAGGAACTGAAGCCTCTACAGACCATGAACCAAATCAACCTTTCTTCCTTTAACTTAGGGTGTCATTGAGAAAAGTAACTGACATGCACGGAGTTACGTATTCTTTGTCTCAGCTGCAGTTTTCCACTGAGTTAATGTACTGCACTCTATTTAGTCACCCCTAGTGATTAACATTTGCATTTTTCATTGTCTGACAGGGAGTTCCTGGAGTTGGAAAAGAGCAAGCACTAAAACTTATACAGATTTTGAAAGGGAAAAGTTTGCTTCAGAGGTAAATACAAATTGCTTTTTCTCCCACATTATTTTTCTTCTTTAATAATGAGTATTAACAAAGGGTTAACCCAAAAGCGGGTTTTCATATTTTTAAGCTGCTCTATGTTTTTATTTCAAATAACATTTTTTGTAAAGTTTCCAGTGGAAGGATGAGAATATATGTTCTAGGCCATATTGTATATTTAGAAATATATTATTTTTGTTGATTTGTTTTGAGACAGGGTCTCACTGTGTAGTGCACACTGGCCTCCTACTTGGGGCAATTCTCCTTCCTCAGCCTCAGCATGCACCACCACACTGAGCTAAAAATACATTGTTAAGTTGTTAAACACAAACGCACAGTGTCAAATGCATTCATTAATAACCATAGATGTTTCACCACAGGCTTCTTTTGTTGGTTTTTGTAGATGTTTTCTCTTTGTTGCCCAGTCTGAGCTCAACTTCACTGTGCTTCCACTTAACTTCCAGGGTGGCGGGGATGACAACACTCATCAACACACGCACTGGCAATGGCTGTTACACCCTATTTTAGATGAACATGACATTTAGATAATTTTAGACTTTATTTTTAAAGCTTTGATGATGACTTTACTTTGTATAAATGAATGTCAGAAGTGTGTTCCAAATGAGCAACCTTGACTGAAATTTTTTCCTTTGACTATGCATTGTTGTGCCGCTATATGTTTATTCTGGTCTCTACAACTTGAGAGCACAAGACAATTATTATACAGTAAGTCCCCCCAACCGTTCAACTAGTTCCATTCTGGGAAAACGTTCGTAAATAAGATCAGTTCATAAATACAACAAAGTGAGTTTTATACACCTTTAACAAATACACAAATGTAAAGCATAAAGAAACCAAACATACACACAAAAATCTAGTAAGTCCCTGACTGTACTGCAGTGTACACAGTGCACTCTTGGCGCTGTAGCATAGCTGTGACAGTGTTCAGCAGGCACATGAGCTACTTCAGGGACTTGTTTGTGAATACAAATGTTCATAATGTGAGGTCCACTGCATCTGTGAAAGTTCTCAACTTGAATGTGGCAGAGGCAGGAACTTACTGTATAGATTATGATGAAGTTTTCAAACTGTTCCATTTACTCTTAAAAGCATGGGAATTACATTTATTTGATGAAAGTGGTGATTGATAAAAATTAATAGCAATAAGATATAGAATAAATAAGAAAGGAGAGAGGACACCAAGAGACTTAACACAGTCATGGCTCACAATAGGTTTGAGGTCCTGAGAGCCTGAAAAGTGGAGAAGTAATGACTATGACAGGTTTTTCAGTCCCTGCACTCTTTCCTGTAACAGCTTCTTTTTGAGTTGTAACATTATTAATAGCTCTAAGACAGCAGTAAATCCACTATTGACATCAACAATGACTGCACCAAAGTAGGAAAGAAGATGTATACATTAGCATTGGTATGAGGTGTGAAGAATAATACAAGATAGGAAAAGCAAGCAAATACGGCATATGGCTGACTTCAAGGCATTCTTACAGAAATAGTTTCAGCAAAATGTACTTTTGGCAACATTTAAGCAGTGCTTTTGTTTTAACACTTAACTTTGATAAAATTGCATTTTTTCTAATTAACAATTCTAATTTTATTACTTTAGACTGATTTTCCCCAGTTATTTTTAATTTTTGAAACTCTTGTTATTTATGCAAAGGAAATTAATACTAATTTTTAGCAAGATTCTGCTTGGTCTTTATAGTAAAGGAAACAGAGATTCCAGCAGCTGAATCATAACTCTTAAGTAGAGACATTACTCAATGAACTAAAGATATAATTTAGCTTTTAATTCTATAAGAAAGTTCTATAAGAAACAAAATTCATAATTTTTGATGTTATGATTAATACGTAACTTGACCTTGATGGTTTTAAATTTACCTGGAACTTTAGCCAAAAATCAAATTAACTTTTATTAGAAACTTAGTAATACATGTTTCCTAAAATCTGTCATTAGACATGTGATGTTGCTTTACTAATTGTATAAGAGATTAAGAAATAATCCAGATTTTAGAAACAGATTTTACCCAGAAGCTCAATGTTTTACTTAGGTTTAGACATTATCTTTTAATATTATTTCTGATATAGAAGAATAGTCATGTACAAAATTCTGTTTGTTTTATATTGTCACATGGAGAAAAGGAAAAAAAGACATTCAAAACATTCTCCCTGCATGTTGCCACCTTATAAGATTCTTTTAAGGAAATGCTAACAGATACATTTTTATAGTATATAGATGCATAAATATACATATAGATACCCTCTCCCCACTTTTGTGACTCTGCTGGCCCTGGGGCCACATTTAAAGTTTGTAACTGAGGGATTTTTCCTAGGCTAGGCCATTAAATTTACCACCAAAGGAGAAAATGATTGTACAGATGAGAGGAAATACTGGCATTTGAGAACATGACATTTTTGTGACCTTATTTTTTTCCTTTTCTTTTTAAACCATTTTCTATTAAAGGTTTAATCAGTGGAATGAAAAATCTTGTCATTCTATTCCACAGCCACAAGTAGCCAAACTGGCCCATTGCTCTGTGTGTTCCCATCCAGGTAAGCAGACACAGAATTTCTCTAGATTATTAGAGTCTGATGTCCACATTTTCATTCCTGTTCTTATATTTTCCTCATCACTTTATTAATAGCACTTTGAAAGCTTTTAAATTGCCTTCCCCATTAAATAGGGGATATCTTGGAGCCAGAAGCTAATGTTATATACATAAAGTAGGTACTTGGGAAATGTTGAGTGAAGTAATGTGATATAAATGAGAAATATAAGTATAATTTCAAACTATAATATCAGGTTACTGTAATTTTTTAAATATCATGTTTTCAATATATAAATCCATTTTAAGGGAAAATGTAAGTTCTAGCAGGGGAAAAAGAATGATTTATATACTACTAAAATGATTCTTCATTTGGTCTTAGTGTTTTCATTGTATGTAAAGATAGTGACAAAAATAATTTCTGTCTCATATTCACTTTTAATGGAAATAGCCTGGGTCATCATTAGTTATGGTTTAAAAAAGATACACCTCTGAGCATGTGCTGGGTCACCAAGGTCTTTCACTCCCAGAGTGGTGAGGAGATTTTATTAGATTTCCTCTTAAAAGAAATTCAACTTTATCTGTGTGTCTTGACAAGTGCTTTTTATTAACATTGTTAAACTATAAATTAAATCAGGGGGAAAAATGAATGTTTTTATAAACAAGATAGTATTCCATAGTTTTTTGTTTACCTTATAAATGACAGCTTTAGGTTTATATTCTTCGTGTTTTAAAAAATACTGAATGTAATCACACTTTCTGTGTAGAGGAAACTAGAGCTCCGTATGGGTGCTGTAGTCACAATCAGTTTATGTTTCAAGCATAGTTTTAAAATAACTATACCTGTAACTGGGAGCTAGACATTGGCAAAGTAATTAATTGGTGTGTTCTTTGAATATGTTCATTAAAGAAAGCAGTTCATTAACAACTTATGTTAAGTCATCTTTTTTACTGATAATTACATTCTGCTTTTGTAGCATGCAGCTACTATATAAACCAGACATTTTCTATTATGATGATAAATGTGTAATTCCAATTCAAAAACTAGTGCTTTCAGGTAGAATAGTAATTTTTTGCAATGTCTTATGCTAGTAATAGCTCAGAGTATTTCATCCTAAGAATGGCTAGAATTCATTTTTTGTGCAACCTAAATGTATTGAAGCCTTTATGATATGCACTGTGCTAGCCAGTAGTAACTTTTGGAAATTTAGATAATAGCAAAAATATATACATGGGAAAGGCAGTGAAAATTCTATTTATGTCTCCATGAAGGTTCACTGAAGGATCATGAACATAATGGATGCCAGTTATGTAAAAGTAACAGATACTGTGAACCACATGATTATGAATATTGCTGTCCTTGCGAATGGCATCAAACAGAACATGATAGGCAACTAAATGGAGTAGAGAACAATATTAAGAAGTAAGTTTTTTTTTTAGAAAGTCCGTTTTTTGGCAGGGCCTGTGTATACACCTATGGTTGAATTACTTCCACACAATCTTCCCTGATATATGACATGTCTAGATTACTCATGTTTCGTTTATCCCTTTTTGTGTAGGTGTTCCAGTGTTAGGGATTGAATCCAAGACCTTCACAATGAACTACATCCCCAGCTCTCTCATTTTGAGACAGGGTTTCTTTTGCTAAATGCCCAGCTGGAACTCAAACTTGAAATCTTTCTGGTTCACCTTCCCAAAGTATTTATGTTGTAGGCATTTACCACCACGCCTGGCCCAAATATGCTTTTTCTTGATTTTGTTAAAGACATATTCCCCTACCTCAAAGGAGAGTAATAGTATCCCCAAGAGAAGCTTGATGACTGTTTAAGATAATAGTACATGAATACTTTTTATAAATGGGAGGTTGGGTGGGATTATTTCAGTCTGTCTAAAATTGTCTGATTATAAGTAATAATAACATGTGTATGAACTGTTTTCAGAAAGGCTTGCAGTTGTGAGGGATTCCCATTCCATGAGGTAATGAGCACTAATTTAATTGTGTACATATTTCATAAAGGTTTTAAAGTCTCAATTCATATGATCTTTTTTCTCTTTTTTGCTAGGTTATTGAAGAATTCCTTTTGAACAAGGATAAATTGGTGGGGGTAATCAGATACCAAAGACCTGATTTGTTATTGTTTCAGGTATTTGAAAACAAATTCTCCATGCTTAATATGAAGTTGGATTCTGGAAAGATAGGATGGAATATTCACTTTGATTGGTCTTTGTCAGATTTAAAAATTAAAACAGACACCTACTGATTATACAGTATTCAGCATTTCTTTTTTTTTCCCCCACCCCCCAGTACTAAGGGTTGAACTCAGGGCCTTGCACGTGCTAGGCAAGTACTCTACCACTGAATTATATCACTATATTATCCCCCATCTTTTTTTAATTTGAGACAGGATCTTGTTAAATTTCTAGGCTGGCTTTGAACTTATCATCATCCTGCCTCAGCCTTCCGAGTAGCTGGAATTACAGATGTGGGCCATTGGGCATGGCTTTCAGCATTTATTTCTGACCTTTACTCCTCTACATGATGGCCAGACTTAAACCTTAAACCCCAATTACACTATTTTTAGGAAACATTGTAGTTACCATGTATAGATATACTGTATCTAGGGTTATGTCTAGGGAAGAGAGGTTCATGACCAGAGAGTATCAGGATCAGGTATATTCCTGTAAAACACTAACTGTAACTTACAGAATGATTGAAATTTAAAATCAGTAGCACAGATGTAAATTTGGACAGTCATTTACAGTGTGACCCTGCATATGTGTTTCCTCAAAAAAAAAAAAAGAATCTCATGAAGTCACTGTGAACATTTATTTTTTATTTTTGGCTTTTGGTTTTTTGTTTTTTTTTTTTTTTTTTTTTTTTTTTTTTTTTTTTTTTTTTTTTTTGCTAACGGGGATCGAACTTGGGACCTTGCAATTGCAAGGCAGGCCGGGGAACCACTGAGCTGAATCCCTGGAACTGTGAAAATTCAATATTTGTCTCCAAAAAAATTTTTTAAAGGAACAGTTATTTTTGTATTTACAGAGATTTACTCTTGAAAAAATGGAGTGGCCCAATCACTATGCATGTGAAAAATTGTTGGTGCTTTTGACTCACTATGATATGATAGAAAGAAAACTTGGTAGAAGGAACTCCAACCAACTACAACCAATTCGGTAATACAACTGCAAGAATTGTATGATGAAAACTGTGTTTCTATTTGAATAGTTCTTAACACCTCTAAGAGTGGGATATACATAACTCTTTTTGTTCCAAAGAAAGGCCTTCTGGAAAATTAAAAGTATATCCAGGGATTACATTCAAGACAACATATTAAGTTCATACTTTGACTACTTTCCTACTTCAGTCACATAATAATAATACATTACAACAAGAAAATAATGTCAAAAGAGATAGCCAGGCTTAACAAGATCGCTATTGGAGTGGACTAGAAAAGGAAAGGACGCAAAGTGAGTAGGGAGCTGGAACTGCTCATTCCCTCAATCTGGAGCAGCATCATGCGGGAGGGAGGTCAGCCCCAAGGAGAATAAAAATGGGGGCCAAAAGTACTAGCTGTTGATGGAGTCAGACTTGCTTTTTAAAACTAGTAGCAAGGCTGGAGTTCCTCTGTTCCTATTATATTAGAGGATGGAGTAGTGATTAAAACAAAAAGCCAGCTGGGAAACACTCAACAAGAACTGGAGGTACAGAAGTGGGACAGAGAGCTGGCCATGGTAGCACACACCTGCAATCCCAATTCTTGGGAGGCTGAAGCAGGAGGATTGCCACAAGTTCAAGGCCAGCCTAGAATACATAATGAGCTCATGACCAGTCTGAATTACAGAGCAAGATGCTGTCTCAAAAATAATGTATGAAGAAATTTAATAGTTTTTAAAAACCAACAATTGCAGGTGGGGATTTAACTCTTGGTGCTGCGCCTGCCTAGCAAGTAAGGTACCAAAACAAAACAAAACAAAACAATCTAACAATTGCATCATGAATTCACACCATATTAAGCTAGTTTATAAATACTCAACACTGATGAAAGGTGTTTATGTGGTTTTACTGTTGTTTGGTGGGGCTTTTTGTTTTGTTTGTGGCTTTTCGGAATGCTGGAAAGCTGGGTGAAATGGAGATATATCCATAAGAAAAAGATAAAATTATAAAACAGAAGTGGATAGAAACTATTTTAAATTAATGGATATTAAAGAATAAAAAATTATAAATATTACAAAAGAAATCTTAAATTTTTTTTTGTTGTTATGGTACCATGGATCGAACTCAGGACCTTGCGTCTATGAGGCAGGAGTGGCACCACTGAGCTAAATCCCTGGCCTGAGAAAAATATTTTTTAAAATAAAAAACAAGCTGAATTTGATCAAAAAGAATTAGAGAATTGAAAGACAGTACTAATCCCAAGTCATACAACTTGGGCAACTTTAAGACTCAGATAAAAATACTTAACTTGGTGAATAATATAAGTTTTAACTTGGTGAATAATATAAGAATTTCTAGTATATTCCTAGTAGCTAATAGAAACATGAAGGGCTGGGGATTTAGCTCAGTGGTTCTGCTGCCTGCCTCCCAAGCACAAGGTCCTCCTGAGTTCAGTCCCTGATACTGAAAAAGGAAACATGGAAAAGTGATTGATGAAGTGATGACATTTGACCATTTTCTAAAATTCAAGCCAAAAAGTAGCTTTCAGATCAAATTATACTCCAAGAGTAAGCACGATAAATAAAAATAATCCCCACATATTGCAGACAGCATAAAAAGAAGACCTTTAAAAGTGGCAAGCCACTTGGGTAAAAATCATTGATGAATGTTAAACCCATGAATGAAAGATTGCTGGAGAAAAAGAATGGATACAGTCTCAAGGATCACATCGCAGATTAATTTTAAAAGTAGACATTGGCTTACTTAAATACCTAATGACCAATAATAGGCCAAAAGACTGATGTCCCTCCTACTGTGGTAAAGAAAGGCACCATATCATCTCTAATGTTTTTGTAAAAAATATTTGATCTGAATCTAATCAAGAGAAAATATTCTGATAATTACAAAGTGAGAAACATTTTTCAGATCTGCCACTCTGAACTACAGAAATAGAGATTTCATCAAACAAAAAGCTAGAAACTTTTTCTGGATTAATAGATCCCAAGGACACATAACAAGTTAAGCAAAACATTGTGACCCTGATTAGAGTCTCAATTTTCCTTAAGCCACAAAGAATAATTGTGAACATTTTAGTACACTCTGTATGTTAGATAATAGTACAGAGTTGCCATTGATTTCCTGAGTGTAAAGATTGTATTGTGGCTGTGGAGGAGACTGCTGTACCTAAATAAGCTTATTTGTTTCCAAATATTTGGAACAACATGTTGGGAGGCATGTTTGCAACTAACTTATAAATGGAGAGAGCAGACAGCAAAATGTTAATCAATCTCCATAAAGGTGTGTTGAGTATTCATTGTACTTCTGTAACAGTGGGAAATTTTTCAAAGTACATTTGAAGGGAATTATCAAAGAAAAAATACAAAGAAATGGCAATCTGATAGCACACATCTTTCATAACAGTAATATATACTAGAAAATGATAGAAATTAGCAACCTAGATACCATAAAAATTTTTTTACAGAAAAGGCATTTTTTCAGACTAAGAAATTTTAAATGTAACTCAGTTTAAAGACCCTAGGTTCAGTTAAAGCATATACTTTAAGGGAAAAAAGTAAAACTTAAGGGGGAGATTAGAGGAAATAGTCAGTACATGTATTAGTCAAAGTTCCATCACTTGGACAGATTACTCACAACTTAAAAGGGGAGAGGTTTATTTTGGCTAGTGGTTTCTGAGGATTCAGTCCATGGTTGAGTCTAAGGCCAAATGGCATAGTGAAAGGGCAAGGTGAAGGAAACTTGTTCAACTCATGGCAGCTAGGAGGCAGAAAGAAAAGGGAGGAGCCAGGGAGAGATACTCTCCAAACGCATGCCCCCTGTAGATGCCTCCTCCAGATGCACCCCATCTCCTAACAGCACATTTAGCTATGAACTTAGCAACAGAATAGTCCACTGATGAGTACAAAGTTCTGTGATCCTGTCACCTTCCAGAAGCTCCACCTCTAAATATGTGAGACTCTCATAGGACATTCTAGACAGTAATGTAACAAATTGATAAAACATTTGGCTAATAGAGAAAAAATTATACAGATATTTTATAATAGATAATGATAAACTAAAGCTCTGAACATATGCATGTAGAGATTGTATTTCAAGTATATTTAAGACTAATGTCCTATATGTTTAAATCCATTCTTTGAGAGTTTTGGCTTATTATCACTATTTATTAATACAGTTTAGAGTAACAACTAGAAATATAACCTCTATTACCCAAACTAGCACAGTTAAAATAGGAAAACTGTTGAGAAAGTGTAAGTAGGAAGAGGGGAGTAGCAACAAATAAAAAGAGCTGGTAACAGGAAACAAAATTTATGAATGATTCTAATAAATGTATCTTGCACTAATAAAACCTAGCAGTATTGTGTTTACAACGGACATGTAGACTAATACATGAAGTTTAAAAGCAGATTTAAGATTCACTAGACAAATATTTGCCAAAATAATGAAACAAAATGGACTTTAAAAATCATAATAAAAAGAGGAACACTGCATAATGAAATGATTTATTGGGAAAAATGTAGGGATTATAGTCTGCATCTAACAATTATTCTGTTAACTATTCAAAGGAATGAGGCAGTAAAATTCCTATACTTTTACTTATAATAAAAATCAATGGAAATGAATTAATCTAAAAATTGAAAATTTCCAAATAGTTCATCAAACCAAACTTCATTAGATGAATTTGTTTTTCAGAATTGTTAAGCCCCGAATCAGAAATGGAGTTCATTGCTTTGAAGTAGAATGGGAAATGCCTGGTATGTATTCACTACAAATAAATGTTTAATTTACATTTGAGTATATATACTCACACATGCACATACATTTGCCTGTGTGTAAAAGAAATGTGCATGTGAAAAATAAAGGGGAAAAAGACCCATCACATGCACCATGGATTAGCCTTTTAGTTTACTTGTATTATTTTAAATATTTTGGCTAATAGTAAATGTGATAAACTTTAAGTGATTTTATTTTGTTTTAATTTGACATTTCCTTTGTAATGCTTAAGAAAATAAAAGTTTTAATTTATATTTCTCAAGAAAATGCTTCTTATAATTAGTCTGTCGTTAAAAGTGAAAATAGAAGGAAAAAATGGAAACAAAGCTTTTTACATAGGTGGAGGAAGGGACTTGATGAGATGGAATAAAATAAAATAAAATTTAATATAAAAAAACAAAAACCTTTACCCCACTAAAAAAATCTGGTCATTAGATTTTATATATAGCTGGTTCTAAAGCAATTTTTGTTGAATAGTACCTGGAGTATTCTTCCTCTCCTTTCTTTACTCTTTGGTTTCATGGGAATTTATAATTGTCAAATTAATCTTACTTTCACTACACAGAGAAATACTGTGAATTTGGAATTCTTAAACTGGAGGCAAATGAAGCATAAGTAAAACGAAAAATGATTCCAAATTCAATATTTTTATTTGAAATTTGATTGAATTTATATATATATATATATATAAATTGGTACTGGGAATCAAACTCGGGACCTCTCATTTGCCAGGCAGGTGCTTTGTCACTGAGCAAAATCTCTGGTTAGATTGTGCATTTAGATGAATCAGAGTAGATTTGTTCAGTGAAAGCTTAGGCTTTACATGACTTTGAAGAATAAAATTAGTAAAAATTTAAATCATTCTAAGCAATAATAGAACGCTGAAGAACTTTGAGTATTATTTAGGAGCAGGACTACAAACTAATATATTTTCAGATAAGAAATATTAACCTCGTTTAGCAGCACATCTTCCCTCACTGGCCTTGATTCACTGCAATCTTCCTCCTTAGTCTCTCAAGTGTTGGCATTACAGGCATGCGCCATCATGCCTGGCTCTGCTACCAGCTTTGAGGCAAGAGAATTTAAGAGTTTAAACTTACTAATTTAAAAGGAATTTTCTTTCAACTGTGCCAGGCAAGGAAAAGTAAATCCTGCACTATTATCAGCAAGCTTTGAGAATACAAATGTTGAAAACAAGATTTACAATGAATTAACTAGTTGTGGATGACTCAGTTTAGCTCACTAACTTGGTTACTTGGAAGAACTGATTTTTTAAATCTAATCAAGGCTACTTTACTGTATTTTTAATCTTGTAGAACATTTTGCTATAGAAGATGAAGAATTGATTCTAACAGTTGAAGAAGAATCATTGTTTGAAGCAGCTTATCCTAAGATTGTTGCTATTTACAAAAAACAAAATTTAGAAACTAAAGGGAAGAAGCAAAAACGTAAGTATTGGGTCACATAACTATGTATGCCTCACAGCAGTGTTACAGAAGAGCCACCTGTTCTATTTGAACCTACCTTGTCTAAATTTTGCTGAAAGCTCTATAAAATCAAGAGTAAGAATGGAACTCTAGCTTCCCTTCATATATTTTCTTTTAAAGCTAAAAAGCCAGGCATATATATACCCATGCTCTGTGTTTGCTAACTGAACCAAGTATTAGTAATTTTGCCAAGCCATTGTAGGGCAACTATTGTTTATAAAATATTTAGTGTTATGAATCCATTTTCCTTATTTTTGAAAACTCAATTTATCATTGTTTCTAGGAGAAAATAGTTTTAAAATATTTCCAGGAATGTTCTGAGAATAAGAAATGACCAAAAACAACTCATATAGAAAATTTTTTATCTAAATTTTTTTTAACCCAAGTGAAGGAAAGAAATAGATGTCTAAGGGCTGGGGATTTAGCTCAGTGGTGCTGTCACCTGCCTCAAGTGCAAGGTCCCAGGTTTGATCCCCGGTACCAAAAAAAAGTTGACATCTACTTTATATACATATATATTTATACATTATTTTTTTTCTAGATATGAAAATTAAGCCTAAAGAAGACAGTTTCCCAAAATCAGATGACGCTGCAGTGGATCTTCAGTCTCTTGTGACTTTAAAACCCACACCTGAAAACTTTCCTAAGCAGGATTCCAAGTTAAACTTGGAAATTTCTTCTGATCCTGTATTACCACAGAAAACCATTTCTGGCTCATTGACTAGCTTGCTTTTACCTCAAGATGTTTCATGTTTGAATATGCAAGAAGAGTTAATGTCTTCTTCAAGACCTTTGCTTAGTCAGCACAGTAAAGATGCAAGTAATTCTCTCAGTTTGAAATCTGGTCAACCCAATCCTTCATTACATGATACATCTGTGATTACTGATTTGCACTTGAGCTCCATTGACTGGGAAGGGACTTCTTTTAGTAATTACCCAGCTATTCAAGGAAGTGCTACCTTTAATGATTTACAGTCAGAATTTGAATCAAAGCTATTAGTCACCCCTGGTAATTTTGAAAATACCCCAGGACAGTTGTTATGTGAATCAGGATGGTGCACCGCAAATATTAATAAATTGTCAGAGGGGCATCTTCAGAAGATTAGTCCTGAAAAGCATCTACTTTCTGGCATTAGTGATTTATATCTTCAGGATTTGCCTTTAAAAGAACGTATATATATGAAATCATCATATCCAGAGGATAATGCACAATCAGATGTTGACTTGAAAACTTTACCCCTACAAAAGATAAAAGAATCTTATATTGCTAATAGTAGATCTGATTGTCCATCACATCTTTCAAAGGATCTTCCTGGAATTAATTTACTAAATGAATCCAGAAATTCTGAAGTTACAAAAAGAGACCAGCTGCCTCAAGAAAACTGTAAAGTGAATACTTCTGTACTTTATTCTGTCAATAGTAGTAAAATAGTAAAGACTTCCAGCGTTCAAGCTGGGCCACCAAATAATTCTTCAGGTCATAGTAGAAAAGTTGATATGCACACCATTCAAAAACGTGTCAAGAAGAATAGTGTTTGCCTTCACAGACATTCCTCTGATGCAGAAAGTAGCCCAGTGTTTGATAAAGTGAAGAACACAACTCAAAAAATAAAACACAGTTCACAGGAGCATAATTTAGCCCAGTTTAAAGAAAGTGACCACAACAAACAGAGGAACCCTACAATCCATGCCAAAGAAACTACATTGAGTGTTAAGTCTTACAGAACAACTGGAAATGAAGAAAAGCATTTCTCAGATCCAGCGAAATCTTCTATGAGTTTTCTACAGTGTCATAAAAAAGATGATGATCTTGGTACTTGTTTGGATAGTCCTCTTCCTTTATGCCAGAGATTAAAACTAAGGTTCCAAAGTACTTGAAATAAAATTTAAAATACTTACATATAACTTGTCCTCTTACTGTCAGCCTTAGTAGAAGGAAGATAACCTAGTTAATGTTTGGTGGAAATATGGTTGTATATTACGTGCAATGTTTTTGCCATTTTATCAAAGTTACAATTTTAAAAAGTAACCAGAAACTTTGGTTTTAAAAGATGACCCCCTGTAGTGAGTGTATATTTTTAAAACACATTTTTATCATTTTTGAGGTATCCTTACTGGTTAAAGCTTTTAAATGTTAGTATGTTACTTGACAGAGTAGATGCTTTATTTTTCCCGCAACTACTAAAAGCCTTATTCTAAGAATATTCTAGCATGTTCCCCAGATGATATGCTCCATACTTGTCTTAGACTGCCTCATGACAATCACGTTCTCTCAGCATGAAAGAGTGCTTCCACTTTCAGTGACCTCATTCGCTGTGGGGTAGAAATGGAAAAGGAGAGCGGGTGGTCAGTTCACAGATTTATCAAGTAGAAAAAAGATTCTGAAAATTGAATGTATAAACAGAAGGGGATTAGAAACTTCCTTAATAAATGCAGTAATGTTGTAAGAATCATTTTTGCCTTCTAATTCTTTGTTTTTTTCTGTTGGTTGGTTGATTTTCCTAAGCACTGTTTTCTTTCCTTTTTGCTTTAAAAATCAATCTGGGCAATCTTGACTTTAGTAACTCCAGACATTAGGTCTCCCATAAATTTAGTCAGTTATGATGGCTCAGGCCTGTAATCTCAGCACTATGGAAGGCTGAGGCAGGTAATTGCAAGCTTACACTCAGCCTGGGAAAGTTAGGAATACCTTATGTCAAAATAAAAATAAAAGGGCTGCAGATGTTGGGGATGTGAAGTGAAGGCTCTGGATTCAAACCTCAATACCACCTCCTCCTCCCTCAAAAAATTTATTAAGTACTCAAACTACAGTGTGTCCAGATTTGGAAAGAAAAACTAAAACTTCCTGTTTATAACAGACAGATCTCACATATTGAAAATACTAAGGATCCATTAGAAAATATTTAAAATCTGATTATGTCATAAGCTCAATAAATGTAAACATATGCCATAAACATGAGCTAAGAGTAACAATACCTAGAAGAATGAAAATAAGGAAAGGGAAATTGGGGGAAGGGATTTAAAAAGTTGTATTAGGTTACATGTACCCACTTTCCAAGATGATTGTAGTAAAATGAGTTCTTCAAGTTTGCAGGATACAAGATGAGCATACAAAACTTACATTTCTAGTAACTCAATGTGTGATACCAAGTGAAAATCTGGAAAATAATTTGAAAATACTTTGAAAAGTTAAACAAGTTTAAAAATTATACTCTTAAAAGTATTGAAACATTGAAAGAAATTAAAGAGACATCCCATATTCATGAATCAGAAGAATTAAGATGCTAGTATTCGTTAAAATGATCTTCAGATTCAGTGCAATCCCATCAGTTCCAGCTAGCAAACTGATTCTAACATTTATAAAGAAATTTAAGAAATAGGGCCAGGGATTTGGGTCATTGGTTCCGCTGCCTTCCTTACAAGTGCAAGGACCGGACTTCGATCCCTGGTAGCCCCCCCCCATTAGGATAGTCATACAGTCTTCACAAAAATAAAAAATTGTACAGCTCACTTTCTTGATTTCAAATTTTGCTCCAAAGCTATAGAAATGAAGACTGTTGTACTGGGATAAAAAGTAGGTATGTAGGTTAATGTGATGAAATCAAGATACGAAAAATATGCCTTCACAATAATTATCAGTTGATTTTCAGCAGCACCAAGACAGTTCAGTGGGGGAAACGAGTCTTTCAATAAATGCTGCTGGAGCTATTGTTCACTTGCAAAAGGAGTTTGATCCTTACCTTTTACCATATAAAACATGAATGCAAAATGGACCAGAGACCTAAGTATAAAAGATAACCTTATAAAAAAAAAACTCTTAGAAGAAAATATAGGCATAAATCTTTTAATTCTGTAATAGGCAATAATTTTCTTATGTGTAACACCAAATGTACAAGCAGAAAATTTAAAAAAAATTAGTTTCGATGAATCAAAACTTTTATTTGAAAGGACAGGGTTAAAGTGAAGAGACAATCCACTTAGAATGGGAGAAGGTATTTGCTAATCATCGTAAATATGATAAAACATCTAGAAGGATTTGTATAAAGAACCCTTACAACTCAAAAAGAGAGGAGCCAAGTATCTAAATACTGAAGGTATTCAAATGCCAGTGAGCATGTGAAAATACTTCTAACATCATTTAGCCATCAAGAAAATGACAAAATCAAAGGGATACTACTGTTTACCATTTCACAACCAATAGTATAAATACAATTAAGAAAAAGACAATAGCATGAATTTAGGATGTGGAAAAAATTGGAACCCTCATCGCCTGGTAGGGATATAAAACAGCCATTTTCAAAAAGGCTTATCACTCCTCAGATGGTTAAACAGTCAGTGTAATTCATAGTTCTCACAAACATGCACATATTTCTTTCAAAAGAGAACATAGGATCACACAAAAAATGTAAACATTATGTAGTGTAAATATGCCCTCCAACAAAGGAATCTAGGAATCCCCAGCCTTTAAATATATTTTTAAGATCTGTACAAGTACCAATTTGCCACAGGAGCTATAAACAGTATGTAGTACAAACAATTACTAATTTAAAAATGCACTGCATCCATAACATTATTCATCATAGCCAAAAAGTGGAAACAAGACAATTGCTAAGGAAGGGAGAAAATTAACATGTATTGAGTAACAACTGTGCTAAGTACTCAGGTTTTTCATGAAACATTTCTCTCAATTTTAAGACTGTACTTCAATGTTCTGAACATTTAGGAGTGGGGAATGTCCCACTAAAACATTTTCCAAGGATCTGATGATCATTATGTGTTCACTCAACTATGATAGTTTAGGACCACACCAGGTGAGCATCCTGAGGGCAGAGGAACCATCATGCATTTCTCAATCCATAAATGGGCTGGCGAAAGTTTTCAGTGAATGGATGCTGACTGGAGGTGAATTCAGAGTCCAGTTACTCAATTTCCCATGAAGAAAGAACAAATCCAGTTAGAGGATCTTCCATCAGCTTGTTCATTGGTCACGTTAGCTGTTTGGAGGTGCCCTGATGAGGTGCTTGCTTTCTGAAGGTGAGTGGCTAAATCAACGCTATTCCAGTTGTGCTGTAGCACTGAGGTTAAAACAGCTTACATAGTATCATCAGGCAGCCTCTGTCCTCTGCAGATTAACATGGCAATGTTTATCACCTTAGCAGGGAAAATCTTTTATCAGGCTCAGCTAACAACTTGCATTAGCCCCTTTCAAGGACTTGCCATATTTCCTTTAAAGGACCATGCTGCAGTCAGCCTGCAATACATTTGGCAATGGAGAGACATCAGCAATGTAAGCTCACTGTTCTATGGTCAGAATGACTGAATATTTTGGTGTTTGGAAGGATTACATTTTTAAATTAAATTTATGTGTGTATGTGTGTGCGCGTGTGTGTGCGTTGCTGAGGATGGAACTCAGTTTTGCACATGCAAGGCAAGCAGTCTACCACTGAATTATATCCCCAGCTCTGGAGGAATTTTTATAAGTACCAAAGCAGAGTTTAGGAATTAAATTCTTGAGCCTCCTTAACATTATTCTGTGCAAGACACAAAAGATCTGCAAAAACAGAGTGGGGAAGGCATATTAGAATTATCTGATCAAAAACCTGATGAAAGACTACGATAGTATTTCCAGCATCATAATGTGTATCTCCATCTGCTGCTCAACTACAACAAAGTCTGAATGTGAGAGTGAGTGATCTGTGAAACACCCACGGGAAAGTAGATTAAAAGTCCTTTGCCTTTTTGCTTCCAAGTAATACTGGCTGCAGTAACTGCTCCAAGTCACATTTTTGTTAAACTGAATATGCTGACTCAGAAGCTTTTAGGAGATTCTTCACAGATGTCTAATCCAGGCCTGTGAGGGCCCCACAGCTTCACAGCTGGGACAGCTTTAGGAGGGGCGACAAAGGACTCAGAGCCAGGTCTACATCCTGGGAAACAGACCAAAGGACATTTTCTTAATCTGAGGGGCAGTGGCCTGAGTAATTTTTCTAGTTCTAGTGAGAGGCGTTACGCAGGGGAAAACTCCCTAGGTTTTAGCTTGCTTCTGTGGGGATGACACTGCCTCCTCTCCACTCAACTGCATTGGGGATTGATAGCCTTTTGAGTGGTGTATAACCATATGTAAGTTTAACAGTATTGATTTTTATTTGCCATATATAGTCATGAACCAAAAATAATACCTTTATAATGTGTCCCATTATCATCTTGACAACGTCTTTTGAGACAGTGTTGTATATATGAAAAGAAAAAGAGAAAACACTCTTATGACACTGCCTCCTCTCCACTCAACTGCATTGGGGATTGATAGCCTTTTGAGTGGTGTATAACCATATGTAAGTTTAACAGTATTGATTTTTATTTGCCATATATAGTCATGAACCAAAAATAATACCTTTATAATGTGTCCCATTATCATCTTGACAACGTCTTTTGAGACAGTGTTGTATATATGAAAAGAAAAAGAGACAAAACTCGCTGGATACAAATGAGTTTGGAAAGTCCATTATGTGAAACAGTAAATACTGGAAAAAGAAACATACAGTATATGGAATGTTTATTATGTGGAACACACTTTACTAATTCTTCAAATTCTTCATCTGTGCCCTACACAAAAAGGTCTAGAAGATAGATACTTTTATCCTCCAGGTACCAGAGGAGACATCCAATATCAGTATCTACTTAACATCAGGAGAAGGATTTGAACCCAGAGCCACTCTTAACTCCAAAGCTGGGTTTGTTCTCCTTCCTACTTTGGTAAGAATTTAAGGCTCTATATACTTCACATCTAAATCCATGGGACTTTTAAAGAAATGACCCAGAGAGATACAATAGCCTCTACTGATCTGATTTATAGAAATCTGACTACTAAATGAGAGTAGTTCAGAGTCCCAGAAAACTAGTTTTGTGAACATCAATAAATTATCAAATATTTATTTCAGTTTTCAGAATTAACCCTTGAGGTTGCTATATGGCTTTCCATGTGACAGAGGGAATGTAGGCAGGGTTCTAACTCTAACAAATGTTTCATCCTCTCAAAGCTCTGCCTGTCAGGGACAGATAGTCCTGAGATCTTGGTCATCCACAAGTTCTTGGTGGAGCATTAGTTAAAGCTATCTTCTTTTGAGTCTTCCTTTCTTAACTTGAATCATCTTTGCACAGAGCCTGCAATGAGTCAGGCCCTTCACTGACCGTGTTGAGTGCAGTTTTTACTAATCTTCAAAGCAACCCAAGGGAGTAATTCCACATGCTAATGATCACAGATAGCACACGAATCTACTCCTGGTTATACTGCTACCTCCAAAGGTCGAGTGCCTTCATCTCTTTCAGGAACTACTGAAACAGCCTTCCTGCTTCAAAGCACACCCGTGCCTTTTTGTAGCACACACAGCAGCCAGATAAATCAATCGAAAACAAATCCCACT